TAGGTTAGGGAGCTCCTGGGTCTTCCTCATCACCGTGACCCCACTTTACCTGGCAAGTAGTAGACACACAATAAGCACTTGTTGACTAGTAAACAGACCTTCACTAAAGTGGCAGCTCACTGACTGCCTATGGAAATCCCCCAGGCAATCATAGAAACCGGAGGGCTAGAAGCCCCTCTAGCTTCTGCCCATCAACATCACCGATAACAACACTAGACACCCCACATCCTCCCCCTACCAAGTGAGTTCCTGCCCCAGTAACAAGAAACACACCATGGCAGCATAGGGCAATTTTTTTCTTTTCTTTTGTTTTTTTTTTTCTAGACAGGGTTTCTCTGTATTGTTTGAAGGCTGTCCTGGAACCTGCTCTGTAGACCAGGCTGGGGCCTCGAACTCACAGAGGTCCACCTGCCTCTGTCTCCCAAGTGATGGGATTACAGGCGTGAGCCACCAACATCCAGCTAGGGCAATTTTCAACATAAAAAAATAACAACAACCATTTCATAACCTAAACTAAAATCTATCTTTATATGCTCCCAGCACTTAGTCCTGGTTAGATCTTCTAGAAAAAGTATAAAACAATTCAAAACTCATTTCCAAACACAGCCCTCCATGGACCTGAGAATACCCAGGCAGCCTATGTTTCCGTCTATCCCAAGTCTCTGTAGACCTCACTAAACTCCATCTCCCTCATCCTGCTGGGTGGTGTTCAGAGGCTTTGCTCTGGGGTGTGCGGGTGACCACAGTGAGAAGATCCAGTTCTGACGATTTGCCATTGTCAAGTCGGTCCCATGTTTCCTTGGTGATGCTTTTTGTCACCGCCACAGTTGTTTATTGACTTTGCCAGCATCGCCAGAGCTTCCTAACTCTCCTGTTTTCTCACACCCACTGCTCGCTCCCCACCAACCCTATTTTTGATGATTGTGGTTCAGAGAATATGGATAGAAACTATGCGCAAATACTGTCTCCAAATCAGCATGCCTTTGCAAAATCCCTCAGGACTTGTGCAATGAGGAATGTCACGTTTCAAAATAAAAAGAGTTTCCCCTCACAGTTATTCACATTGTACTTGGGTTTGGCTTTAAGAGTTGGAATTAAAGAAAAACTCAAGAGAGTATATTGCCAGGAGGGGCCCTAAGTTAAATCTAATTTAATCTGACTAGAGTGTAAACCGCTTCTAAGGAACTGAACTGGGGCTGGAATTCAAGTCTTTGAACTGCTAAACACAGCATTCTTCCCAGCGCACAGAAAAGCCTTGACAAAGGAGAGAAGAGTGCCAACCCCACTGGAAAACCTGCTTTCAAGTTTGGAGATGAAAAGCCACTTCACACACACACACACACACACACACACACACGAGAGAGAGAGAGAGAGAGAGAGAGAGAGAGAGAGAGAGAGAGAGAGAGAGAGAGAACTCGGTTTATAGCAATTTTTCCCTAGCCCTAAAGGCTAGAATTAATTACTTCTCTTAATAAAATACATGGACTACAGAAGTACAATTTTCTTCACAGAAAAACAAAACTTCAAAAAGCCTAAACTATGGCCCCACAAAAGCATCATGCAAGTGTCAGCAGGAAAAAGACACACGATGAATTAGTTCGGCCACAGGATGGCAGTGTAACCTTGTGTATCATCCGTTTATGTCAGGCACCATCTCTAGGTTGACTTCAAGTTTATGTAATAACAGTGAGCAACTTGATAACTGTGCTAGCCAAATACTTTGCTGAAATACCTATAAAAGACATAAGTTTATACTTGGGATAGCATATTCTTTAACATTTGTTGAGTCCCAGACTAAAGCTTTAAATGCCTCAGAAGATGCTAGATTTATTCTGTGAACCAAAACAACTCTGTCACTTGATTGCTAGAAATAGCAGTTTCACAAAGATGATTCCCTGTGCTACTTAAGCATAAACTGGTGAGTGTATGAAGTGGTTTCCATCTGAGGAAAAGTCAGTCTTGGTCTTTTGTATTTCTTTACAGGGAAAAACAGTATCTGCCCTCCCACACAGCTCCTGCAGGGGAGCAGGTAAACCAGAATAAGATAGGCAGGACAGACAGAGTCTGATTCAGTGAGTGAATAGGCATTCTTCTTATGGTGTTGTGCCGTGGTACTGGGAGACAACGCCCTCAGAACACCTCAAACTATACCTGTAATTGTGAGCAAACTCAGTTTTCTCAGCTTCTGTATTCCCATCTGCAAGTTGAGTGAAAACAGTGCCCTCCTTAAAATGTTGGCATGAGGATTAAGTGAAAAGATTCATGAAAAGTACTTAGCAGTTTACATGGTACGTGGTGGTGAGCTCTTGTCCAGACAGTGATAATGGCAATAATTGCGGTGATGCCATCACCTAGTGGTGGTGGTACTGATGATGTCTACCTCAAAAGACTATGGAGCGTATTGCTATGCATGCAAAGCCCTTCCACAGCACCCAGAATATAGCAAGGAGGCAGCAACAGTCAAGGGCAGCCATAATGCCTGGGTTCTACAGAACTGGGAGCTTATGTCAACCAAGAATAGCTAGAGAAGCCCAGGTCTACTTCTGTCTTATGCAATTACAGACTTGAACTTGGGGACTTGTTCTTTTGGTAAAATGCCATGCAAGCATAATGACCTGAGTTTAGTCCCCAGCATCCATGTGAAAACCATTCATGTGTCTTTAACTCCAGCACTGGAGGAAGTGAGAGACAGACTGGAGTTCACTGGCCAGGCAGGTTAGTCAAACTGTGATGATTCTGTGAGAGCTGCTGTCAACAACTGAGAATTGCACCTGACATCAGCTTCTGGTCTACACACACACACACACACACACACACACACACGCACGCACGCACGCACGCACGCACATACACACATGCACAGACACCACATACCACACACATCTGTGTGCACATGTGCACTTGCACCCAAACAAATGTTAATTTTAAAAACACAGACAAGATCTATGGGATCAAAATTCCCTAAAGCCTGTAGGCTTTGTATGTGGTGGGATCTACAGGGCTTATTTCCATTAAATGGTGTTATCGGTGTGTAGCCTCAGATCAGCAATCAATTTATGATGTGAATGTTTGGGAATTTCTGGGTAAAAAATTACTAATTTCCGTCAAGCTTGCCATACTGAACAAATGGGAAAAATTCAACTGGTCTTCAGTGCCAGCTGTGTAACCCCAAATTCCTGCCTACTTCCCATGGGTCGGGGACCCCCAAATTCCTGCCTGCCTCCCACGGGTTTGGGACCCCCCAAATTCCTGCCTGCCTCCCACGGGTTTGGGACAATTCAACTGTCCTCTTTCATGACATACTTTCTCAGAGACAAACTCAAGTGGCATGAGGGGGGAGAAGAGATGTTTGGCAAAGACTATAAATAAATTATTTCAAAATAGCTATCACGTTCATTTAAAATTCTCTTAATGCTAGCGAGTGCAAGCACTAGCAACCAAATGTTGACACACACAGCTATGCCCTTCAGAGTTCTGGCTAGCAGACACCATAGCAGACTAAGCCACGATGGCTCTGTGAAGCAGTGTTTGTTAACACAGCAAGTGCAACACAAAGATGCAAATTCGTTTTTAGGATCTCCTCTGGAACTGAAAGCAGCATCGATGGTAGAGTCTGCAGAACCACTTGTTGTTAAATGTGGGATACTCTTGCTTCCATTTACTCCATACTCAAAATGCTGGCCCCCAATTTCTTCCAGTTATTATTAATAATAGTTTTTTTATTTGAGGAACAAAACAGAAGGTGAACATACAGTTAATGTTACCCATTGAGCATGCGAATATTGTGCCTTAAGTTTGTATGTTTTAAGTGTTGTGAGCTCTAAGATACATGTCTGGTTTTGATGAAAGACATGGCAAAAACTGTCTTTCCAGAGCATTGAACCCTGAGTAAGCTTTCAGAAGGAAGCAAGCAATGTTTCACACTCCAACAGCAACCCCATCAGGGTCTCAGAGGGAGTATAGCTGCCCTTCCTGGCCAACATTTCAATGCCTGGGAAATGAATACAGAAAACAAATACGTCTTCTGCCAACAACAGTGCTACCAACATTGTGGGGAAATCAATAGACATGTGGTCAGCTTCTTTGTGCTAAAGCTGATCAGGGAGTCTCCTTGTAAGTGAGGACGTTAGAAGATCAAGTCCCCTAGCTTAGTAGATGGTTGTCCGTGAAGAGCTTGCCTCGTGAGTGTGAGTACATGAGTTTGAGTCCCTAGAACCCTTGGGGAAATGCCAGATATGACAGTACATGTGTGTTATCTTAACACCAGTGAGATGCAGACAGCGGAATCCCTGAGGCAGGCTGGCCAGCTAGTCTATTCTAACGGTGAACTCTAGGCCACTGTCTCAAAGGGGGTAAACAGCATTCCTAAGAGGGATACCCAAACAGTCCAATGGCCTGCATGTATACATGTATTTGCACACACACATAAACACATTCCGTATGTGCATACAATGATAATAATAATAATAATAATAATAATAATAATAATAATATAAGAGTCCCCTTGCCTTCAGCTGAAGAAGTTAGAGAGTTTGGGTGTTTGTTCAATCAAATAGCATGTGAGTCATAAGTAAAGAGTCCCAGAACTCCATATTATAAACAGTTTATCCCACAAACCAAGACACTTTCCGGAGTGACAAAGGCCAGCCTTCATGATTACTATGGGACAAACAGCATAAACGGGAACGTCCTGGGCCAGTCAGGAAGGATAGTCCCCTTTCCTAGTAACCAGATGGATAAGTATAAAGTGTGATAAATGTGGTTCTGGCACATGGAGATTCTAGAATATGCCTGTCAATGTTAATAATTCCCACTCTTCACATTGATTCTTTATGGCCCTCACTTTATTGGACTACTATTAAAATCAAGACCAATATATTCTATCACATATAGTCACTAAACTTTGAATAATTTCCCAAATACTCTTTGCTCGACTCAGCATTCAGTGTGTGGTAGAGAAAACCGTAAGAGAGAGAGAAGTGCTACATCTCATTTCATACCTGGGCAGCAAGCCCTATGAGCATCAGTTTTCGGCAAATGGTGTAAATGTAGATGGTACCTAAGTGGAGAGAAACATGGTTAGCATCTTTTACAGTCAAAAGATGGAGACTATGGATTATAATTTCTATGGCTGAGGTCTGTTATTCCCAAAGCAAGCACTCTCGTGAGGTTTGATAATGGTAGAAAGTGACAATCATTGTAGTTTTTCTTGTCTCTTAAGTCCAAGATCATTGAATTAACTATTATGAACATATTTTAAATATGTTAACACCACAATCTTTCAGCTTCATTTCATGGCAACTGGCATTTTAAAATATACTGCAGAGAATAATAGCTTAGCAAATAATTTACATACCTTGTGGTTTTATTAACACTAAAATGTTCTCTTTTTCCTGTTACTTTCTTATGGTTGAAAAATGAAAGATTTCTCTGTGAATAGTATCAGGGTATGTATTTAATCATTGTAGAACACAAGAAAGCTTGGGGTGACTGAAAACTTGACACAGGTGAGGAGCTACATTCTACCCCTTTCCTGCCTCACAGGATGAATCACAGTTAATATTCATCCTGTGATTAAGATGGGCCCTATAATCAGTCTAACAAAAACTACCACTTGAGTGTGATTTGTGTGGCAGACAATTAATTACAAGAGAAAGCAGTCCGGTGGCGGGGGGGGGGAGGATCACTATACTATACACCATACTGTCTGTAGATAAAGGACACTATCCTGCCATACGCATGCTCCAAAGCTCACATGCTACTAAAAGGTCTAGCTTGAAATGACATGAGTCCAACTGTTTTCTACAGAGTAGCTGATCTAAAATCCACGGCCAGCAAAATCAACTCCAAAAGCTCCAGAAAACATTCCTTGATTTTTAAAACGCCCAAGAGCACATCAAACATCAATTACACAGGTCAGAGACAAAAACCCTGAACATCATCTGGAAACTTTACAGCACTGAACATTTCAGAGAAAATACAATCAATTTGGTTCTTAGCGGTCAAGGACTTAGCAGGCTAAGTGCCCAAGATGTCTACTTACCGCCTTCAGTTAAGATCCACCAGGGTGGAGGTCACACAGCTAGAACCCACTCCAAACTGTCCTAAGCGTTCACCTAGAGGTCACCCATCTGTCAGTGAGCACAAACTTGTGCCCAGCACTGAACAAGTGGGTCACCCTGACCACTCATGTGGCACCCCAGCAACCCGGTGGACAGCCTGGTTAGAGATGAGAAGGTTGGAGCAGAGGGAGTGGATGCTGGGATTTGAACCCTGGCCTTCCTGCCAGCTTATGTGGTCTATGTTCCTGGGGATCCAGATTCACCTTGACACTCCATGCTCTCCCAGAGGGATGAAAAAACTGTCCTAAGCACCTCAGCTTGGTTGTGTTGAGACTACATCTCTTAGGGCCAGAGAGACAGCTTACTGGGTAAAATGCTGCTTTTGCTAGCATGAGTTACCTGAGTGTGATGGCATACATGTGTAAGCCCAGTTCAGGGAGGGTGGATAAAGGTGAGGTCCAGGGACTCACTAGCTAAAATAGTGAGCCCTAGGTTAAGTGACAAAGCCCTGTCTCAAAACACAATAGAGGAAGCCACCCTGACACTAATCTCTGGTATTGACACACATATGTATACATGCATATCACTAGGCACACATACATACTACACTAGACATACATGTCCACTCATATATACACCAAACATACATGCACCCATATATACACTATGCATATACACACATAGACAGCATACACACACATGTACACTATACATACACACACAAACATACTACACACACATACACTACACACATGTACACACACACTCACATGTATACCGTATACACATATAAACACATACACACTACACATACACACACAGGAAAAACGCAACTGTAGGACTGATTGCTTGTAGAAAAGAAAAGGTCACCAAGCAGGGCAGTGCACAGGAAGCATATTCCTGCCCACCGAGCATGTGACCCAGGTTCAAGCCAGGAGCCTGGAAAGACACGTCAACAGCAGGGGGCTGCCCTTGGGAATGACAAAGGCCCTTCTGTTTCAAACCATGCCAGGCCTAGTCTATCCTAACCACATTGGAATTCTTCTTTGACCGTTCAGGATTTTGGCCTGGCTCCCTAATTCCCACAAGTAGAAGCCATAGGCAAGAATAGATGGGACAGGATGAATGTTTCTGAACTCGGACATTTTGGAAGTCTGCTCCTCCTACTCCCCCTCCTCCTCCTCCTTGTTTGAGCCAAATCCCTACTCTGAATTGTTGAGCCTGATCCTGGGACTGCTTTTCATCCTAGATGGTCACTGTCAAAGAGTCCTGAAAGTCTAGATTAGTTGAGTTCAGTTACTTGAGAAGATTTGACATCTTAGGGAAAGAATCAAGACTAACTAATGTTTTAATTAACCAATGGTAAGATGTCTGTCTGAAAAGGTCAAATGTACTTTGACAAATTATTAAATGCATAGTTCTGATTACTTAAAATACAAACTGTCAAAACTCCAGGACCTGGGTACTTTCTAATCCCAGATTTGGACCAGCTTCCCCCGCCCCCCCCCCCGACAATAGTCTAGGTGGTTCACACCCCAGTTCCTTCCTTGCCTTGTCCAACTTCCCTAAACATTTTGTGTACATTTCCAGCCCTCCCTTAGCCTGACTTCTGTTTCCTTCCTTGTCTGCCTTCTCACCTATGTGTTCTCCACAGCAGCACCTGACATATTTGTTTCATGCACTTGCGCCCTGTGGAAGGAATCAGCATAAGTATCCATCTCCTGCTTCCCAGGCACCTAGGACCATGCTGGGCCCATGAGGCACTCGGTAAGATGACATTAAATCAGAGCCACTAATTAGTGAAACCAAGTATAGTGTACATGTATCCTACTACCTAGCAACTCCACTCCTGGACATAGAGCCCAGAAAACTGTCTCTCCAATCTATAAAGCAAGATGTGCAAAGATATCCTTTGCAGAATTGTTTGCGCAAATAGAAATATGGGGCAGACTAGGTGCCCCTCCTTAGGGACATACATGAGGAGTTGCAGAAAGAGTTAATGAATTAGAGCTACATACAGGAACATGATTGATTTTGCGATGTAGATTTGACTGAGAAATCCAGAAAAGAGAATGTCTAGAGCTGTCATATTTATAAGCATAAGGCTCACACCAAAAAAGGGGGGTACAAAGAACTCTAATATCTTTTTCAAACAGGAGGGGACTGGAGGAGGAGGAGGAGGAGGAGGAGGAGGAGGAGGAGGAGGAGGAGGAGGAGGAAATCTGGCTGTTTGTTTGTTTGTTTGTGTTTTTGAGACATGGAGTGTCACATAGGCTGAGTTGCTCTTGAACTCTCCATCTTCCTGCCTAAGCCGCCAAACAGAATCATATGTTTATGTGATGACATCACATCTGTGTCTGATCTTAAGGGCCATAAAACAATGAATTCCATGTCTACCACTCCAGGAACTCCAGCCTTGACATGCCGTTCACTGTCTCCTGAGTACAGAAGGCTGGCACTGCTCTGCCCGTCTCTGCCAGCACACCTCAGCACTCGGGGAGGCAAGGACACTGAGACGACCAGCCACTGATGCTGATCCCCAAGTCCTATCAAAGTCACACCCCATTTCTAGCAGCAAATGTGCAATACAATTGCAGTCGAATGGAAGCACGTGATTTGGGGTGGGTAAAGACACAAGAGGCTAGGAGATAAACCTTCAGTTGCCATGAGATGAGGAAAAACACGGCATATTTTCATTGGAATTATTCTTTCCTAGTCTTGTGTACATCAAACAGATTGTCGCTACTATTTTTTTTTTTTGTTTAGACCATATTATCCATCCTTGGTACCATCAAGAAAATTAAAAAAAAAAAACATATTATCTAAAAGCCAACACAGTAAACACCTCAGAATAACTTTAGAGTTTAGAGGAACAAATGTTACAATTTAATAGCTAGTATTAGTTTCTTGTGCTTTATATATAGATATATTATAGTGTGTGCGTGTGTGTGTGTGCGTGTGTGTGTGTGTGAGAGAGAGAGAGGGGGGGGAGGTCCTCATTAAAAACAAGCTGGGTGGGGATGTTGCTATGTAGAAAGCCAGGATCTTCAAGGAGAGAACTATGAAAGCAAATGATTTTTAGAATCCATTTACCATAGCAACCACTTGATCCTCCTCCACACGTCTTCCCCACTTACCAGCTATGATCCCTACTTTTCAGAGACCTGAAACCAACAACCCCATAGCTACTGACCCTTCCTTTGGTGAAAAACTCAAAGTTTCTACTTGTGAAAAAAAACGAAAAGGTAATCCATTTTTTAAAAATAATGATTACTCTAAAAATGTGTGAGTTTAAATCACAAAATGATCAAATTGCCATCAAACTTGGCATGTAAGTAGCTATCAGGGAGACAGTGGGAAATACGACACTCTGGTTCACACCATTGAAGATAATCCAGCAAAGGGGCTCCTGGGGCAGGGCCACCTGCATGATGAGCCTTAGGGAGGACAAGATGTGCAGACACTGGCTCACAGATTCTTTATTCTGCAGGTTGGCATCGTTGTCACACACCAGCTTGTATCTGCAAACATTTTTGCCACTCAAAGCATGGAACTGAAAGACACGGGAAATATATGGATAGATGAGGCTTATATATTCAGAAAAGGCGTTTCTCAGCAGTGGGAAAAACAGCCTAAAATGCTTAATTGGATTAGCATGCAAAGAAACATAAGACAGTCTTCACTAGAACATTCATTTAATTAAGATTAGCTTTCCATAGTCAAAAGGAAATCCCAAACAAAAGAGTACCAAAATCCCATTACCCATTGTCTCATTACCATTCAACACTACTTATAATCTCACCCAAGAGCATCTTCACCTATTTATTAACTCAAATGTGATTATTTCAATTTATATAATGCTTTCAGGAAATGTTGATTGACTACCACTGTTTCAAGGGAAGAAACGGCCTCGGCCCTTGGCAGATGCAAGTGTTCCAGGCACCGACAACATTGGGGATGCTTCAACTGTCTGTCATGGTCGCTGAGTCCAGAAGAGACCATCAAATACCCTGCAGTTGCAGGCTGCTGGAAATGGCAATGCTGGGGCCGAACTCTACCAAAGCAGCAGCACTGTTAGCTGCAGAGTTGGCTCTCCAGCCCCTGGGCTGGTCTCTTAAGTTCTAGTAATCTTGTTTCTTTTATCAGTAAAAAGGCAAAACAGTGCCACCTGTTAGGCAGTGAGGAGCCCGTGATCTGATAATTCATACAGTGAATTAGGAGGTTACCTGACACAGACTTCACTTTGGCATGATTTTCTTATTTGTTGTTGACTTGTGTTTTTGTCCCCATGAAGACACTTTGGGTATTTGGAAGGGAGGCAACAATGCCAGTCACTGAGACTCTCAAGGAGGGTGTAACAGTATCCCACAGACCTATCCTCTTATCAGGGATTCCTCTATCTCCCAGATCCCCAAGCACAGTTTTGAAGCTCCACAGGACTTGACTAGTAAATGAATGCTAGCAATTAATATAGTAGCACTGGCATAATAAAAATATAGCTGAAAGTTTCTTATCAAAAAAATCTATGTTTGTACTCAAGGAGTGTTTTTTACAACACCTATGTAATAAGTCTTGTTTTTCTCATGTTTTTCTCGTCTGTAAGATAGAGAAATAGTAACATCTATCTAGCACATGTTATTTTGCAAAACTCTTTGTAAATGAATGTGCCTACAAGTATTAGTCATTATGGCAAAAGTGCTGCCTGCAAGATGAACTAATGTTTATATTGACAAAATCTCCAGAGCCCTCAAAACTTGTACCAGACGACTTACAGTGTAGAGCCAGATGCTATACTAGGCATGAATGGCGTCTAGACACTGTCAGTCGAGGGCTACACTGACCATGAAACAAGCCACAAGCTGCCGCGCTCTTAGTGATCTCTCCCATCTTACCGTAAGTTCGGCAGTTTCATCTCCAAAGCCTTTTGGGAAAAAGACAGCTTTGAACTGATTCACATCTTCTCTTTCCTCATCAAAGTCAGAGAACTGCTGGAGATACCTCCCATAGCACTGCAGAAGAGCCAGTTTGTATTCCTAAAATCAAAGAGGGCTTCATTACAGGTTCAAAATATAGTCTTAAGAGTGAGAGACAGTCACAGCATCATTAATCATATCAATGTTGGTCACTACAACTTCCAGAGATTCCCAGTGATTCGATGTAACTTTATCGAAAAATTAATGTTACTATTTTATACCCAGTACCCATTTCTTTGCACACCAAGTCTTACAATGACCAGGTGGTCAGCATCATTTTCCAAGCATACCTCTGTGCAATGTATGCGTGTCACTGTGTTGAATTCTCAGAACAAGCCCACTGGGATATGGGAGCATTGTGACCACGGGGATGAGAATATGAACATTTGTTCTAAATTCGGCAACACCCTCAGCATCTCATAGACTCAGAATCTAAGTTCTCAAATCCAACATTGTCTGGTCATGGCGGCCCACATGCTCAATTCAAGAGTGAGGACTGGAGCCTTTGCTACAGTCAGGGTCAGAAGTTTTGTTCCCATCACCCACATGGGATGGTTGGCCTGGATAGTGTCAGCAGGGAACATGTGTAGTACTGTAACGTTGAGAGCTTTGCATCTTCTGCAGCCTCCTCCTCCACAGTCCTGTCTCCAGGAAAAGCCTCTGGCCTGGCTCTGACTCAGCCCCTGCCTAGCCCTTGAGGGGTACCCACCATCAAACATTGCTATATTCTTATCAAACATTATTTTGCTATTTCCATCAGCTTCCTTGTTACTTCCTCACTGGTTAATTCTGAACCTCTCCTATTCTAATTGATATGTGTAGTATACCCAAGTGGGTTCAAAACAACAGCATTCCACAGGATTACCTAGACTATAACTAAAATACAGATGTAGGCATTCCACAGGATTACCTAGACTATAACTAAAATACAGATGTAGCCTAGAACTTGACGACAGTAACAACTCATTCTTTTTCAACATTATAAACACTGACAGTGATCAACTTCCCATCAGTGAAAAGTGGATAAATCTTTTCCGTACCCCTTTCATCCAACTGTAAACGCCCTGCTCAGGCTTATCTATCAGAAGCCCTGGGTATCCTTAGCTACATCACCAACTCCCTACCTCCATGTCTAACATGCTTCCTCCCCCCCTCCACCTCCACCTTCCACACGCAGCTGTTGCTCCTAGACTACCCATCTGTCCCAGGTAATGCCAACCTCTCAGGCCTAGAGCTACCAAGATGGGGAATGTCCACTTCCCAGACTGGAACTCACAAGGGTGTGAGAGCCATGGTGTATGCGTGTGGAGCTAAGGCTATCTCTAATTTAGGAAAAGGAAGCCAGATCTTAGTTCTGTGGATGAAAAGAAAGCCACTTTAGACTGAACCTTCTGGAAGGCTGATAGCTGATTAGAAATGGGGCAATTGTGGAGAGGTTGGAACATTGTAGGTCCAGAGTCTAATTACAATTTATCTTGGGCTACCTTCTAGCCTCTTTAAAGCATTCCTTGCCTGTCTCTGTTTGGTCCTCATGACTTGACTACCAGGTAAAATTTCCTAGAAAATGTTAATTTAGCAGACGGTTAGAACTGCCACCAACCAGAAAGCTAACTATGTCATCAGATAGTATCTGAGACTTGCAGCAGACATTTCCCATTTTTCTATGATGGGTCTGTCTGATGTTTCTACCAATATATTTGAAAAGTGTTAGGATTTCTATTTCTGACTAGAAAGTCGTAAGTGACTACACAAACTTCATGAAGCTGTTAGCCACATTGGACAAGTAATTTGTGGTGATCTGAACCTGTGTTCTGGGGCCATGGTCACTCATAGTTGGCTTCAGGATAAATTCTCTCTGATCCTTTTTGAAATAAGAATTGCATTTTTGTGTTGATGGTGTTTCAGAATGGAAGTCTTTCTATACCTTCTCCTCTACTTGGTAAATTTGTCTCCCAGAACATAGGTCAAAGTCCAAGAAATAGAAAGACAGAAAGAAAATCAAGCTGAGAAACTGAATAGTAAGAAGGCCCTAACACTGCCCACACCTGGCTTAAAAAATCCCAATGTATAAAATAACTCCTTGTCCAACACTGAATAGAACTTGCTATATTTGGACGTAAGCCAGAGCTGGAGGTTCAACTTACAAGGTCATGAACTGAAAGCCAGGCCATGCCATGTTCTTATCACCTCAAGTTAAGGTCCATGACGTTCAAAATTCATAGACCCTGATACAGAACTAACAATACTGCCCATGCTCAGTTTCTAATATAATACTGAGCAGAAAACGGCATATACGCCACAGTCGCTGGGCTCACAGTACAGCTCAAAAGAGCCTAAAAGTCACTGAAACAGAACGCTGAACAGTCAAGCCAGTAGCCATGAGGCCTGCCAGGGTGAGGCCACCAGCTGAGTGAAAAACAACAGGAAGTGGTGTCTGGGCTCCTTTGTATGAGGTAGGAACAAGATGACTCAGCACTTCCTGCCGTGAGCCTACCACACCCTCTGTTAATGGAGCTGAGCTGCCCGCCACTCCCCATTTCCAGCCTGCCTCCGGTTCCTAAAGAAACCACCCTGGACAATTTCAAATACCAAATGAAAACTTCATAGTTGTTATGATTGTTACTGTACCTCATTACAATTTTATCCATTCGCATATCATTTTCAAAAATGAAGACTAGGAAAAGTATGAGTACAAATACTGAAGAGCCAAAGGAGTTTGTGTCTCGCTGGCTCTGCCTTCGAACCACTTACTTGCATTTGACAGAGGCTGTCTCCAACCTTCAGAAGCTTCTCGTTGTAATAGTCGGATGGCAGCCGGGGGGCGTATTTGGTCCAGATATTAAACAGAGTGGTAGCACTGTGAGAATCATAAAGTAACACATCTTCAGAGTCAGCAGGCAACCTCAAGTAACTAGCAAACAATCCCTCAAAACCTGCCTTGTGCTGAGTCTTTCTAATGTGCCTTACTGTTAGCATCTAAGTATTAATGCCTTGTATTACGGCTATAATGGCTAATGTTGTTATAGCTGACATGTGCCCACTGTTGACTGGAACCCTTCATATGCATCATTAAAGACTTGTAGAGCATGAACAAGCCAAGCCCTCTATCCGTATCCACCACTGTTTTCATTGTCATTTCCGGGGTCCCAGGGCCACCCATGCGGACGTCAACATTCCAGCAAAAATGCTCAGTCACCCCAGGTGTTAACATTTCTGGTGTTGGCTGAGCATGTGCCATCAGGGTTCAGGCAAAATGCCTAGTTATCTCAGGGCTTTATGCAACGTGGCCATGTAATCCATGCATATGCGTGGCTATGTAAACCCCCATAGGCATTCACTAAGTGACCTTTAAAAGCAGACACGCCTGGCCTGAAGGGACCAGACTCTCACCTAGCCCCCCTGTTTTGGCAGCCATGACAGGCTGCAGAAAAGACCCAGCAAGATACAGGCCTCTGACTCAGCAAAATGTGCTGAGCTTCCTGACCTTGCCCAACCTCCTAGTCACTAAGAGGTCAGACACCCTCATGTGGCAAGGAACCAATCAGAAGTTAGCTGGAAGGCTCTGGATGTGCTTTACAAGCTCTGGCTGTGCTTTACAGTAATATTGATACTAAAACTGTGGAAACTGAGGTTTCCTTCTGGGGTTCTTTGTCTCAAGAAAGATCTTAGAAATGGACTCAGAAGGAAGTCCACGGACAATTTTATTAGAGTTGAAGAAAGGAACATAATACAGGCTGGGTGTAAAAAAAACAACAAAATGAAACAAAAATCCCAGCAGCTATCAGAAGATGGAGAAAAAGCCATGCCTTTTAAGTTAGTCATGGAATGGGTAATTAAGGAAAATTGTTATTTTCTTATTAATGAAGGATTAATAATTAAGGAAAAAGCACTCCCAAGAAAGAAGTGAGCTGAGGGAAAAGCCATGTAGTATATGATCTACTCTAGTACCTCTCTCTCTCTCATTTGCATTTCATTTGCATGCTCTGTTCCTTAGGTGATGTCCAGTGTTCCTCTACAAAATGACTTAACCTTTATTTAAAAATATGTATGAGTGCTTTTGTCTTTCATGTAAGGATGTGGTCCATATGCATGCAGTACCGAAGAAGGCCAGAATAGGGCATCGGATCCCCTGAAACTGGAGCTAAGGGTGGTTGTGCAGCTCGGGACTGAACTCAAGCACTCTGCAAGAGCAGGAAGTTCCCTTAACCTCACACATTAATTTTGACATAGCTTTGTTACAGCTACTCCTCTGTCACAGTATCATGTCACAACTGCTGAGCTGACACTGGCACATCAAGTGCTGATGAAGTCCATAGTTTCTGTGAGGATTCATCTTGGCGGTGTGTTCTTGAAGGGCTTTTGACAGACGTGTGACGATACATATAGCACTGTTACAAAACACAAGTTTCACCGTCTTGAAATTCCTCTATGCCCACCTGCATGTTTCTTCCTTCTTCCATAGTCTTTGTTATCACTGGTTCTCTTACAGTCTTCATGACTTTCCTCAGAGAATACCATAAGGTAGATAACCTTTCCAGCCTGCCTTCTTTCATGTAGAAATATGTATCTAGGTTCCTCTGTGACTTTTCATGGTTCATCAGCTTGTTTTTATACCAATTAATACTACATGAGCTGATAATGTTGTCATTTATTTTTGTACTAACCTTGTAAAGAATGTCTTGGCTGCTTACAAGTTTTAACAGTTATAGAAGAAGCTACTATACATAACTGGGGCTGGGGAAACAGCTCAGTTAATACAATGCTTACTGTACAAGCTTGAGGACGTGAGTTGGGAGTCTTAGAACCCATGTAAACAGCCAGGTCCTGTGGTAATGCTTACATCTTTGCACTGGGGGAGCAGAGGCAGGAGGGCACCTGGGATTCATGGGTCAGTCACCTATCCTAATTTGTAAGCCCCAGATTCCAGTGAGAGGCCCTGTCTCAAGAACAAAGAACAGCTCTTGATGAAGGACATCCAAGCTTGAATTCTGGCCTTTGCATTGCACACATGCGTGTGTGTGCACATGTACACACAAACATAGAGAGAGAGATGTTCTGAGTATTCATATGCAAGGTTCTGTGTGGTCATAATCTTCCTTTGGGTAAGTGCCAAGAGCTACAATTAGTAGGTCCCATTTTAAGGGTGTACTCAGCTTTGTGAGAAACCATCCCTTGTCTTTCTTCCATCCCGCAACCCCTCCAGCACAGAGCTTCTGTTGCTCCTTCATCAGCATTCAGAGTCTTAAGGAGTCTTGTATTCTAGCCTTGTACTCGGTGTGTAGGTGATCTCACAGTTGTTTGAATTTGCAGTTCCCGGATGTTGTTGCATGTGGAGCATCCTCTTGAGTTTGTTTTCCATCTGTGTGTACCTCTTTGGTGAGATGTAAAAACAAGTTGGAGTTTTTTTCATACCGTTGATCCTTAAGAGTCCATTGCATACCATGCACAACAGTCATTTATCAGATACAATTTCTGTGTGTAGTTTACAGCCTATTCTTCACAGTGTTTCACAGAGCAGACATCTTTAATTTTGATGAAATTAAGCTTGATGATTATTTCTTTCATGGATTACATATTAGAGTTATGTAGAAAACAAAAATTTCAAACCCAAGGTCACCCAGATTTTCTCTTAGGAATCATACTGTTTTGAATATTACATTTAAGTCAGGTGATCCTTGGAATTGATTTCCACTAAGGATGTAAAATCTGCATGTAGTTGTTAAGTATTTCTGTAGCACAAATTCTAATAGGTCTTAATAATAAATGACTCTTAATAATTATTAAGACCTTAATAATAAATGCCAGAGTCATTTATTATTATTACTATTATTATTATTATTATTAGGGGGTGAAAGCTGAAAGGTCAGAGAGACAAAGAAGCAAGCCACAGCCACACCTTACCTCCTCAACTTCCCAGCCAAAAAGAGCCTGAGATCCTGTCTCCTTCTACCTTATCACTTCCTGTCTCCACCCAGCCATATCACTTCCTGTCTGTGGTTAACTAGTGGCTAGCTCTGCCCTCTGATCTTCAGGCAAGCTTTATTTGAGTACAAACTGGATATCACCACAGATCTCAAGCTCCATTCTGCCTTGATTCTGTTCCTTTGTCAAACTACAGACTATATTTCTGGGTTGTGTGGTCTTCTCCATTGACTTCCTCATTATAGAAGCAATCTCATGCTAGATTGCTAGTATCCAGATCACTACAGCTATCTATAAATCCTAAGATTCTGTGGAATCACTCTGCCAGCTTCATTTCTTTGGATTTTGTTTGTAGTGAGACAGGGGCTCAGTATGGAGCCGTGGCCACTCTCAAACTCAATATCATCCTGTCACATCCTTCAGCATGCCAGAATTACAGGCATGGACCACCACAATTTTGTTCTTCAATATTGTATTGGCTATTCTGAATCTTTTGTCCAGAAATGTTTTTTCCTTTGCTTTATTTCATGTCTGCAACAACCCTAAGGTGGGAAACAATATTCCCACAGACAAGGACTTCAATGATAATACTCACTTCTTGCTTTAAGAGCAGTAAATTGTACAGGTAGAGTGTTTTGGCTTCCTCTCCTGTTGCTGTGATAAAAAACAACTTAAGGGAGAAAGAGTTTCTTCTGACTCACAAGGCAAGGTATGGGTCCATCATTGCGGGGGAAGTCAAGGCAAAAGCCGGAAGCAGCTGGTCGTGTTATTTCCCCAATCAAGAATTCATGCTTACCTCGATTTCTCCATTCTACACAGTCTGAGATGCTAACTGGGGGGATGGAGCCACCCCAGTTACACTGATCAAGATGATGCCCCACAACAGGGTAACCTCACAGGTGTGCCCGGAGGCTTGTGTCGTAGGCAAGTCTAGATCCTGTCAAGTTGGCAATCACACTAGCTGTCACCGTAACCAAGAGGAGTATAAAGGAATCCAATAGGGAAAGAGGGAGGGAGGGAGGGAAAAGGAAATGGAGGGACAGTGCAAGGGTACAGGGTAGGTACCCTGAGGAAATTCTTGCTTTTATTTTATTCTTTTCCATGAAGAGCTCAAAACCATTTAGGGTTATGCTTCCTTCCACCACATAAACAACAACAACAAAAACCATGAGCATTATAAAAGTGATTTTTAATAAAAATGAACAGAGCACTAAATCATTGATAATTTTATTCATTCATTGAGTTAACACTGATTTCTTCTCTTCCTCTCAAATGTTAGGAGTGCCTTTGGGATAAAAAAGAAATCCAAATTCCCCCTTAAAATTGTCCAATCCTGCCTTCTAAATTTCTAGATAAAGACAGTGTTGCAAACAGAATGCATCCTTCCAACCCAAACACACTGTTGAAGCCCTAACCCCAGGGCAGCTGTACTGGAAATTGGGTGTCTGAGGAAGCAATTAAGGGTAAATGAGGCCATGCAGTAGAACTTGGTCCAATAGAATGAATGTCCTTACCAGAAGAGACTCCCAGAATGTGTGCTCATCCGTGCTCTTTCTCCCAGGCTTCTTCAGAGAAAGGACCCTGAGAGGGCAGAGCACCTAACCAGGCAAACAGCCCTGATGAGGTCCCGACTTGGAACCCGAAGCCTTCAGAACTATGTGAAAATAGATGTCTTACCACTCAGACCATGGCATCTTGTTAAGGCAGCAGAGATGGACCAGGTGGGAGTGGTGCACGCCTTTAATCCCAGCACTGGGGAGGCAGAGGTAGGTGGGTCTACCTGAGTTCAAGGCCAGCCTGTTCTACAAAGAAGGTTCCAGGACAGCCATGGCTACACAGAAAAACCCTGTCTCAAAAAAACAAAAACAAAAAAGAAGCGAAGATTTGTTACTACTACTACTTATATGCATATTCATGAGACAACGTCTACAGATACTGATCAACTGATTGATTCATTAAGATAATTAAGTGATACTGACTGAGTCCCCAGTTGAGTAAAGGGGGTTAAACATCCCTTTCTTTATGGATCAAATAATAATGTTTGGGATAGAAAAATACATACATATGCCCACAGAAGACAAATAAATAAAGTGGTGAATAGAAACCATGGGGTTTAGAGAAAGACATTGTCTTTGTTCATTTCATACTTCATTTGCTGCCTGTGAAATTCCACAGCATTTAGATGGAATGAGTTCAAGAAATCTACCACGTCAGGCCAAAACCCTTCATTTCTGCACATAAAACAGTTAATTCATTTGAGCCTTACCAATGTGATGATCACTGGGTTCGTTACTCATAGAAGCAGAATACCAGCTGTAATTAAGTCAATCAGGGTTACATAACAAGAGGGTTTTTCTTTTCTTTTTAGAGAATCTGAGGTTCAGGAATGCTGCTCATTAGAAATGGCTTACATAACACTACAGCAAAATATATCCTCTGCAGCCCAGGGTGGCCTGAAGCATATTGTTGTAGTCCGGGCTGAGCTCATACTCAAGCAGTCCTCCTAAGTCAGCATCCCAAGGGTTGGAATTGAAGACACCATAGGCAGCTTTAAGAATAGCAGGCTAACACTATACTGCCGGTTGGCTATGATGGCTAGGAGATATTCTGGATGTCCTAAAAAGATTCTCACAGTATAAGCAAACTACATAGTGTTAGTAACAAAAGCATATTTTTAAAATACACCACACTTTATATAACAGCATTGTTCATATAATCAAAATTATATTTTCAGGACTATAAATGTTTATGCTTGTGGAAATTCCTACAGTTAGGAGAAGAAAAACAAAAGCTTTGATTTTTAAGAGCAGCCATCTGTCAAATGTGTTATAAAAGCAACTCCTGCCTCCTGGGCTCCTCACCGGCTCCCCGTTACCATAAGTCTTGTTCCATTTGGACGTAATCAACCACACAGTATTTTCAAATAGCAATTATGCCATACAATCCCTTACCGGAAAGGACCTCTACAGCCTTCCAAAGCCCCACTGCTCCCTCTAATCTGCCATTGCACCTGCACTTCCCATGCTGGGGCCGCAAAGGGCTTTTCTCTGTTCCTTCAGAGTGATTGGCTCTTTCCCTCCAAGGGTCTTCCTCTGGTCACTGTCCTCTGTTTCTGTCTGCCTGGTTTGACTCCTGCAGATTCTTTTCATCTTACCACATCACCTCCCTGACCCCTCGTGTCACATCAAGGCCACTGAGTTCCCCTTGGGACGCTGCCGGAGTTGCCACCTACTTTGGCACACATGCAGGCAGAAAACACCCTTACTCATACTATAAAAATAAATAAATCTGTTTTCAAAGTTGAGGGAATACAAGGTAATACGGCCCTTGGATTCCTGAAATATCAAATATTTGTTGGCTAGCATTTAGAGATGGAACAATGAGGAAAGAAAAAAAAAGTTATCCCAAGTTCCCCCAGGAAGCTTATGTCTTAATAAAGGAGACAGACATAGACAAGAACACAAAAAGTTAAATAAAACATCAACTGGTAGATGAGCCTGAATTAGGCAGAAAAAGCCTGCCTTGAACAGTGATAACTGGTAGAAATCTGAAAGAAAAGAGCAAGCGAGATTACCAGAAATCTGGAAGAAAAACCTCCCAGACAGAGGACACCACAAATTAACCACTGGGGCAAGAAAGTAGTAAAGTGTTTCTCGAGCAAGTCCCAAGGAAACGGACAAGGGGAAGGCAGGACCGGACCACCCGATGCTGGAGAACAATGGAGGCCTCTTAGTTGCATTCTAGAAGCAATGGTAATCACCAGACTTCAGCTAAGAGCAGATGATAACTTTGCAAAGAACACCCCCTCTGCTACATGAAGGGTATTTGAGACAGATTGGAGGCCAAAGAAAAGTGAACCTCTGGTTTGGACTCAGTGATGGCAGTGGAGATTCAAGAATGTTGTACAAATGGAAACAAATGGCAACAAGTCAAACACAATGCATTTGGATCAAGGCTGGGTGTGCTCCGTGTTCTCCTTGGTCTTTCCCTAGACAGGGCCTCACTCAGCTAGCCTTGAATGCAGGAACCTCCAGCTCAATGCTGGAAGGATGGGTATGCAACACAACGCTTTGATTTGATTTTATTTCGTCTTATTTGTCCTCACTCCTTGGTCCACTCTTGGTTCTCCTCCTACCCACCAACAGGGTATGTCAGTTGATTCTTCCTATCCCTCAAATCACTTTCTCTCCCTGCTTCCAGGAGCACCAGCTACTTCCTGGTCCTCCTCTCTCCCTGGCTTCTTAGTCTCCGCGGGTTGCTATGTGCCTCTCCTTGTCGGGGTTGGAGCATCCCTCTGTTCCCCCCTTTGCTCTCCTCTTGACCTGCACTCACTCCCTTGGCTAGTCTGTCCAGCGTCACAGCGTAAACATCATGAATGGGTTGATAACCCATTCTGCTCTCCGGCCCTGCCTGGATGCTGAGTTACGATCCCACTACATCCAAAACTAAAGTCTGCATCTTATTCCTCCTCCCTAAGCCTGCTCTTCTCACTGTCACAATGCTGTCCCCCTCTTCACACCTGCCATTGTCCCTGTGTAGCCCACTCCACAAAGAAACCTTTAGACATTATCCTCACACCTTCTTGGCATCCCGGGAGGATGGAGGACACTGAGACAGGGTTTCTCTGAGTAGCCTTGGCTGTCCTGGAACTCGCACTCAGAGATCCACCCGCCTCTGCCTCCACTGGGATTAAAGGCATGTGCCACCACATCAGGCTTCCTCCTTGACTTTCTGAAAAAAGGAAAAACTGGGCCCCCTTTCCTGGTTTTCTCTATCCAGCTCCCTGTCATCCCATATCCAATTGCAATACCCATCAGACACCCCTCACCCTGTCCCCTGCATCACTCTTCTCTGCTGGTGAAATGTCTCCACTGTCGGCGGATGCAGTGTAAGAGCCCTAATAGTTGTGTGAAGAGACAATTAACACTGAACATTATATATGCTATACTTTCTTCTGCGCGTGCACGCGCACACACACACACACACACACACACACACACGCACACACACACACACATCCATTATGCTCTAGGTTGCTTTCTGTTGCTGTGATGACCACCATGACCAAAAGTAATTGGGGAGCAAAGAGTTTATTGCATCCTGTGGGTTATGGTCCATGACTGAGGGAAACCAGGGCAGGATCTCAAAGCAAAACCTGCATTCAGGAGCTGAAGCAGAGGCCATGGAGGAACACTACTTGCTGACTTGTTTCCCCTGGTGCTTAGTTGCTTTTCTCATACAATCCAGGGACACCTGCCCAAACATAGCACTGCCTGGGGTAACCTGGGCCCTGCCATAATCAATAAAATGCCCCATAGACAGGCCACAAGGCCAATGTGACAGAGGCAGATCCTCAATGAGGTGTCTTCTTCCCAGGAGGGCCGAGTTGACAACCAAGATATTAGCCATTACCCCACACCATGACAAGTTTTCCTTATGAATTTTAGGCACAATAAGAGTTGAGTTACCTGGGTGGTGGTGGTACACACCTTTAATCCCAGCACTCAGGAGGCAGAGGCAGGTGGATCTCTGTGAGGCCAGCCTCGTCTACAGAGTGAGTTCCAGCACAACCAAGGCTACACAGAGAAAGCCTGTCTAGGGAAAGAGGGAAGAAGCTATTGCTATGTTGGAACAAGTATAACAAACTGTATAAAAGTTATATGAATATGGTGTTTCTCAAGACTTCTAACTGTGCTGTGAATCTTGGCCACCAGAACCTGAATTTTTCTCTTTTCCTTAGTGAAACATTTTTTTTCATTTAAAAAAGAAATTTACAAATTCTCCTTGTCATACCAGCATCTCCAGCATCATTACATTTGTACTTCACGATGGTTATTAAACAAAATAAGGGTCACTTTAACACAAATCCTGAGTTACCATGACTGTCAAGCTGATAACAAGGGGGCCAATAAGGGCCACAGTTTGGGTGTGCTGGAGAAAGGAGGTGCTTCAATCCGGGCTGGGACAACATGGCAGAGAAAGACTTCACCGGACTGCTCAGAAGGGTATAAACAATGTCAACGGTTTGCTTCTGGAACTTTCCATTTAAGATTTTTACAGCTTTTGACTACAGAAGAATGTTGTTTTAGTACGGGGCTATGCCCACAGAAATATATGATTGGGGGAAGGGGTCTATTGTTAACTTGATGCTTTCCAAGCTTTGAGAAAAGTACCTTTCAAAGATGTATACTAGGTGCTTAACAAATTGTTAGGATGTTTGAACGAATAATAAATGCAAGTTAAGTCTGTGTCTTCATGCCAAATTCATGATAAAAAACATGTAAGTTAAAATTATTCACCAGTCTGGTATTCTTTGCCGCTTGCCTATATCCATAACTACTCATTTGGGAATGTGTTAGACCAGAAAAGGTAGTTACATTAACAAAAGCTTCGTTTTCAGTTCTGGAGACAGAAACAAACAAAAAGCAACCAGACGCTCAGAATGAGCCAAAAAATCAAGAGGAAAAAGAAGTTTCTGTAATCCTAGGGGGATATAAAAAGAATAAGATGCATGCGTTCACAGTGTGATAGACCAACTTCAAGGACTTGAGCAACCTCGGAGCTGGTCTCTAGTCTACTTTTGTCCTGTTTTGCGACTCAAGAGTGAGCCAAGAGAGGCCACGAGAAGACACTGAGACCAAATCCGGAGTTAGGAAGCGCTTCTGTGCAGATTTTTTATTTTGACCTGAATCGTGGGAGAGCTGAGGACTGTAACAGAAACGAATGTCCACTTCTCAGCTCCAGAACCACGCCCCTGTCCTGGTGGCGCCCTCCCCGGCGCCCTGCCTCAGCTTACCATCTCCGATGGAATTCGTGCTTCTGTTCCTCCGAAATGGCTAGAGCCTTCTTCTTCTTCATAAAGCCCAACAGCTCCCGGATCTCCTTGTCGCAGGAGGCCAGGAGCGGGTTTTTAGCGTCCAGAGGCCCGTAGAAGGCGGCAGCGGGCAGCGACTCCTCCGAGCAGGACCTGTGAGACGTTTTGGACGAGCTCGTCTTGGACTCCATAGGCGACTTGAGCATCGCAGTGGAGGTCGGCGGAGGCGTTGGAGGCAGCTGCACCGGCGACGCCGATGCCTCAGAGTCCCGGGACTCCGAGGAAGAGATGGAGGGGCTGGAGGTCGCCATGTCTATCAAAGGCAGTACGCTAGGGGCTGGTGGTGTACACGCGGTTGCCAGGCAACGGCCTCCTGGCAACCAAGCCACCTGCATGCTTTCCGGAAGCACAGCGGCCCCTAGAGGGCGAGGAAAGCACCAACAGCCTAGAAAGGCAGGATGCTCTGAATGGCTATTTGTGGTCGCACATAAATAGACACACGCACACACAACAATCAAATGAATGGATACATGAATTTAAGGTTTTTTTAAGGTCCATTTGTTTTCTAACCACCTGGCACTGATGTATAATGCATAAATAACTTTCTTTTGCTTTGTTTGGAGGTTTTGTTTGTTGTGGAACTTTGTTTTTTAATATTAGAAGGAAGGACCTCCTTACCTAGCCCACCTGTCCTCATATTCACCTTCCTCCTTCCTGTCTCGTGAGTACTGGATTACAGATATTCACAAACAAGGCAGCTAGAGAGGGGGTTTTAAACGGAGAGGCAATAAAAAAATTACCACCAAAATATCATACTATATTTTTTTCCATTTTGGCCATTTAATAACAATATCCATGGTTGCAATAATTAAGAAGTGCCTGGCATTACATCAAGCATTTTGAAACTTTTCTTTTCCTTCAAGAAAGGGTTTCTTTGTGAAGGTTTCTCTACTGACCTTGTAGACCAGGCTGGTCTTGAACTCACAGAGATCCTCCTGCCCCTGCCTCCGAAGTGCTGGGATTAAAGGTGTGTGCCACCACCGCTGCCCAGCTGAAACATTACTCTTCTCATTTAATCATCATGACCTCATACCTCAGTTACTAACATATCGCCACTCTTTCATAACTTAGGAGACCATAACTTTGACCATAATCGGAGAACAAAGCACAGGGTCACCAGGCAGTGGTGGTGCACGCCTTTAATCCCAGCACTCCGGAGGCAGGGGCAGGCGGATCTCTGTGAGTTCGAGGCCGGGCTGGACAGACAGCCTCCAAAGCAATGCAGAGAAACCCTGTCTCGTAAAAACCAAAAAAAAAAAAAAAAAAAAAAAAAAAGCACAGGGTCAGGAGACAAGGCCTAATTGTGCAATCAGAAGGAATAAGAATAAGCTGTATTGACGATGCCCTCTGTGGTAGTTTGAATGTAATTGACCCCCATGATCACTTAGAGAATGGCACTATTAGGAGGTGTGGCTTTGCTGGAGTGAGTGTGGCCTTCTTCTTAGAGGAAATGTGTCACCGTGGGAGTGGGCTTTGGGGATTCCTATGCTCAGGATGCCATCCAGTGTCTCGGTTGACTTCCTGTTGCCTCCACGATGTAGGACACTCAGCTGCTACTCCAGCACCACGTCTGGCTGCTCGCTGCCATGCTTCCCATCATGATGACAAAGGACTGAACCTCTGAGATTGTAAGCTGCCACCCCAAATCAACTGTTTTCTTTTATAAGAGCTGCCATGGTCACGGTGTCTCTTCATAGCAATAGAAACCCTAACTAAGACACTCCCAAAAGAAACTTATTAACAAGGTTTAAATTAGGAAATTCTCTGAGAAGCTGGTTAACACAAGTACCTGCTTCGTCTACATTCTCTTCCCTCAGCAGCTGGAGTTGGTGACTATGGGATTCATACTTGTGCCTCTAACAATCGTGATTACCTTTTCTATTTATTTGTACTTCAGCCTTACCCCACATGCCACTCTGTTCTAAATCAACTTTAGCTCTTTGATATTAATCCATGCTAATGGTTTGAACTGTTCACTCTCGAAATGCTTCTGTATTTTTAAGCAGGAATGTGGGAGATTTTTTCCTCTAATGGACAAACTATAGGCCTGGGGGGAAATGGATTATCAAGAAATGTTCTTTTCTTGAATTTCAACGGCCACACTGAGTCAAATGTATTCATTTGGGGTTTGAATTTCAGCTAGAGGACCTATCTTTCCTTATAAATTATGCAATACCAAAAATTATTAAAGAACCAGAGATTTATGGTGGCTCCAAAAACTAGGTCTTTAATATTGAAAACTATTGCCCGTTCTTTCACACTCAAAAATATAGATGGTGGCCTTAGCAGCCACCAAATGCCAAGAAGTTCATTTAGGCCACAGCCTTATTTTGTCCAGGTCCAACCTCATTCCTTTCCAACCCTATGGACCTGTGATAACTTGTCAGGCCAGGTTCCTGTGTCCTGTGCACTATACCATAATATTCTTGGAAGGAAGGCCACAGTGAAGCTGCTCATCAGAGCAGGTCATCATGAATAAAGAACCTTCCAGGCAACCAGTGAACCATAGGAACACCTACCTCACTGTCAGAGTCCAATTCTCCAGCCAAGAAGCAGGTGCTGCTGTCGTCAATTCACAATATTTGATCTCACTCTAGATAGGCAATAAACACTTTAACATTTTTAAAGAATGCAGGTGGGGGTGGGGGGATTTGTCCATTGAGTTTTACATATATATATATTTATATATATATATATTAATAGACACATTTAAAAATGTGTGGGCTGATAAATTCTCCCAGTTCTCTTTTCCCCCTCATTTTCTCATAGCAGCCCTGTCCCCTTCAGATCAAAAGCCTGGGCAAATTGCTACTGAGAGCAATCTATTGTAGTGACGAATAGAAATGTCAGGAGGTAGGATCCGATTAAATTAAAGTGGTCAGAGAAGAGCAAAGAACAGGAAACAAAGTGGGCCCGCGCCTTCGTGGCTTTGGCTGCCTCTTACGGATGACCTTTCTCATAGTGTACAGATCTCAAAGTCACCGGTGGAAAAGAAGTGTGACTAAACTCAAGTGCTCGAATTATGAAACATCCCATCTTAGTCATCTGCGCACGCTTCTGTTGACAGCGTTTCACTTGCAGTGGGGTTTGGAAGCCTGTCTGAATATCTAAAGGGGCATTAGATTATGAATCATCACTGTGGCAAGATGGAAGTTTCCATTTTCTTCCCTTTCACACACACACACACATTTTTAGAGATGCTATCTTCCCGTAAAGAGACGCAGGCTTTGTAATACCTTCTCCTTTCTCGTGTCACTTTTCCTTCCTCTCCCTGTAATGAAAGACCAGAGTGAGGTAACTCCTGGCAGGGCCAGGTAATGTAAACAGCTTCCTCATAAGTAATGTAAATTGCTCTTTCTTGTAATTAATGCCTTTGCTGGCTGCAGAGATGCCTTCTGCTCATTCAGAATTCTTTTATATCTTAAGCTATGGCTAGACAAATAATACATAAGGTTAGTGGGTTTTCTTCTGTTAGATATTTAGCTGTTAATCACTTATGTTGTCTTAAATAGAATGCATGGTTCTTTAAGAAAGAAACCACAAAAACCTTCCTTTCCCACATCACTAACTAATATGTAAACTGAAGTTTTTGTTTCTCATTTCTTCATGCATTCAATCAGTTAAATAACCCATTCCTTTGTGTGGCTGTCCAATCTACACATGAGCATGCACTCTCCCTACAATAAGCAGGTGTGTGGGGTCGGCTATCCACAATTAAAAATAATAATAAATAAATAAAATAAAAATTAAAAAGCTGAGATACTGTCAAAGGATGGTAGAGAAGCCCGGAGATGAAGCTGGGGGTTGGAGAGAGAACCAAGGACTGCCATGGAAACGATGGCTTGACCGTGGTCTAGAACTGCCTCTCTTTAGCTTAAAGACCCTCCAACATTCACCTGCCTGCTTCCTCTAGGAGCCTAGCACCAAGCCACAGCCCTTCAACATGAACTGAAAGGGGAGCTTGACCAAACACTGCGAGCAGCTGGAAGGCATGCTGAGAAATAGCCACTTGGTTTTGTATTTAGTGGAGCCCTTTGGACAGAAAAACATGCAGACTTCCCCAACGCATGACAGTTTGACTTAGGATTCTCTTTTCAGCTTTAAATTGGTGTAGAAGAATACCCACACGACCATTATGGTGTTACTTCAAATACAATAGTCACTAAATGACATGCGATATCCATCACATTGTAAAATGGACTTTGCCAGGGATGCGTTGGTCCAGCTATACACCTATACACGAATGTAAGTGGTCTGAGCACACCCAATGTTCGTTAAGCTAAGCTATGGTATTTGGTAGGCTAGCAATGTTAACCTCCTTTTGATCTTTTGACATCTTCAAGTTCCAGTGGCCTTACCAAGAGTGTACCATAAGTCAAAGCATACATGTAAAATGTGGAGATTAAATGCCCAGTGGCCTTGGGAGCTGTTCAGTCAGCAAAGTGCAGGAAGCATGAGCACATGAATCCAGACCCCAACACGCGCAAATCAACACTGGATATGGTCACATGTGAGTCTGCATGCTAGCGCTCAGGGAGGGGGGCGGTCCAAGAGCTCGCTCACTTGCCAGTTTAGCCAGTCAGAGAGAGAGCCTGTCTCAGAAGTAAGGTGGAGAACAATGGAGGAAGGGACTCATTGTCAACCTCTGGCCTCTATGTGCATGTGTGTGAGCTCTCACACACAGAGATCTCAAATTGTGGGACCAGACAGTGTGATTTGAATGTTTATTTCTCCCGCTGTAGTTAGCCTCGCTAAGCCTCGTTTAGTTCATCTCTAAGACCTCAGAGTCTGTTTTTGTTGTTGCTGACCCCGCCCCCCAGATAAATGACTTTCAACATGGAAATCCCATAAAACTGTGCTATGTAAATATTTGCTAATTATAATTATTTAGTTGGGAATCATGGAATGTTCCTAAGCAGAGAAGTACAAGACCCAGTTTGTATTTTATATAGTTTAGAAAAGATATTTTTATGGGAAAACAGAAGATAAGAGAGACTGGGGTGAGAATTATATCTTAAGCTACACCTGAATAACTATAGATATTCAACAGAGAGAGAAGATGCCAGACTGCAAATATGAGTAGACACCGAGGCAGAAATCAGGAGAAAACAAAAACCTAACCTTCAAAGCAAAAGGAGATTCAGAGAATAAGACATAATTTATGTAGGAATTACATTATACTATATGTAATTACTAAAGCAGTGAAAATCATAACACTGTACTCATCACCTTAAAAGGGAGCTTATCCTAAGACCTACAGAAGTAAAAGAGAAACATTGCTTAAGTTGAGTGCAGCAATTTAAACCTTTGGTA